AACTATTGTTAATATAATAATATAATTTGTTAACAAAAAAACATGAACAATTACAGACAAAATGTTTTGTAATAATTTTCATAATTCAATATGAATTAATCTTAATAATTGAATCAAAAATTAAATTAGGTAATTTATATTATATGAATAATCTGTTTGTATGAATATGTCATATCTTTTTTTCATATTATTTTTAATAACAATAATAATAAAAAGAAAAACTATTGTTAATATAATAATATAATTTTTTAACAAAAAAACATGTATGAACAATTACAGACACAATTACAAACATAAAAAAAAGATAATAATAAATATTATATTTTTTTATATTATTTTTATATTATTATTATATTTTTATAATAAATATTATATTACCGGTGTGGATGTGTATCTTGCAGAATCAGGAGACGCCGAGGATGATCTGGCGCTGCTGCAAGACATGCCATCGCTTCCTAAACTTCCGTGAAAACTGCCGTGCAAGGAATTCGACAACGGCCCTGGAGATGCCGGCGACGCTGTCAAAGGGGACTTGGATCTCACGGAATCCGTCCTCGACCTGCAAATTCAGAAAATCGATTATCACATGTCACAATGAGTCTTTCAAACAGCGACACTCGTAATAGGCTGTGCACGAGTTCGATATAAGCGACTTCTATTTTTTTTCGTAAACAAAAGATCTATAGTTGCACGGTTAAGTTGCAGCGTAGTATTGGGATACAGTTATTTTCAATAATTAATTTATATCAACACTTATTTCGCGTTAGATAAATTTAGCCAAATGTTTTAGTAATTTAATTATTCTTATGATTAAATTTTTCTCTCTCTCTCTTTTCCAAATAAATAAGTGAATATAGCAACGATGAAAAGAAATTGATTCGAATAACGAACTATTGCCCAACATTACTGCCACCTGGTGACTTAGCACCGATTTAACCGAAATCCCTATGGATTCAATTGGAAAGCAGCATGATTGAACTGTTTGTATTCACAGCAGTATACAAATTAGTTGTGCATTGAAAGCGGACTTGATTGGGTATATTTGGAGAATTATTCTTTTCAAAGATACAATTTGGAACAATTTAGCATTTGATTTATTTAGATTTATAAATATTTTATCGATTAATTGTATTCCATTTTTAAAATATTATTTTGCAAACTCGTAAACATTTTTCCAAAATAATCGAATTATTTTCCAAAGTAATATATCAAGTCACTTAATTAGTCGAACTTGAACGATTATGGGTGAAAAAAAATTTAATCTCTTTAATACTTTGCTGTTTCAAGCAATCGCCATGTGCAGAATGGCCTTGTATGTTTTTCTTAAAGCGTCCACAGTTCCTGCAATATGTGCGCGATATGTCTTTCGAGGATTCGTTGGAATATCATCATTAAACGAATCACAAATTCATATAGATTCACCAGATGTTCGACAAACTTTTCATTTTGTCACATTTATCTCTGTTTTATCAGATACTCGCTCGATTTTCAATTTTTTTTAATCGAATAGATTTAAATTTGTTTTTAAAAAATAATTGTTTTTTAAAAATAAATATTTGGTGAATTGAATAGAAATTGTATTGTATTAAAAATATATATTGTATAGTTATTGAAATATCTATACACATTATTCTTTTCATATTTTTTTACTGTTTTTATCTTTTCTTTAACATATTCATTATTCTTATTATCTATTCTTAACTTTGATTATTAATTCGATTATTTATTTATCTTCATAACTAGGCAATTAAAAATATTTATTACATACAGTATATCATCATGACAATTATATTGCTACGTTAAACTTTCGACAATTATATTGGATATTTCTATACTTGGCCACAAAAAATATTATTTTTATACGATCGAGAGAACGATTTTGTTACATATAAATCAAAATGAAAAAAAAAAGAAATGAGTATCAAGCAATTTATAAAATTTGCCAATTCATTCCCTCGAATTATTTCTTCAAATACACCCAACCCAAGCAAAAGTTCTCGACTTTAACAGCTCCATAAGAAACACAAGCAAAACATGAACGGCAGAGAAACGTGTTAAATTAGCATCCGTTTCTCTTCAGCCTTGTTTCTCGCTCATCGTCCTGCTGAATCAAACGAAATTAAACAAGTGTTGAACGACGTTCAAGTCTCGACAAGAACTTCGAATTCTGACTATCGATATCGTTATCGATAAACATTGATAATAGATGAAATTATTTTTTCTTATTCAAATCTATTGTTAATGATTATTTATAGATGTGATAAACAAATGATATTTCAAAATATTTAACTTTTTTTTCAAAATATCGTTAAGATATCAATAATACCGATTTAAATAAATTACAATATAGTTTTACAATAAAATTTTTTAACTTTTCTAACTTATATTTCAAATAACATTTTTACTGATAATTTTTAATAAAAAATTGCTTCGCTCATCAACATATCAAAAATTATCAATAATGATCAATAATCAAAAATATAATAAATTCATAGATGGAAGCTTTTTGTATCTCGAAAGCTGAAAGCTGGAAAAAAGCGTGTACCGATAATCCTTCTCTATTCATGCGTGTTTATGTATTTGTGCGTGTGTTTAGAAAAAAAAGAAAAATCGTTTGCATGCGAATCGAAATGATCGAAAAAGGGAATCGTCTTTAAATGTGAAGTTTGTGAAATTGCATAGGTGCCTCTGAATCTATTTCCAGGATGTGTTCCACCTGAGCTGAATACCGTGATACTGAGGATTCTTTTTTTTGATTTGAATGATTACTCGATATTGATGATTAATTATTCGAACGCATTTGTCGAGATAGATCGAAAAATTGATCATTAGATTCGAAATATGAAAGTGAAATATGGAACTTTATGAAATTTTTGAAATATGTATTAAGAAATTTAGATTGTTTTTTTCTTTTTTTTTTTTTCTAAAGAAAAAAATTTCGTCGAAAATTAAAATTTTAATTTTAATTTATAATTGATTTCGAACCATTACTTGCTAATTAATGAATGACTTCGTTACGAAATGAATGACACAGCAAGAATAACGATTGAAAATTATTTTTATTTATATGAATTATACATTGTTTATGAAGAATCGAAATGTTATTCTATTTTTTTTATTTTTCTCGTCCGTAAATTAAAAATCGTTATTCGATTAAGAAAGTAATAAAATAAAATAAATCATTATTACAATTATTTTAATAAATTTTATATTTAAATTAATTAAAATTAAATAGTGTGAAATAATATTTCAAATATTAATATTAAAATAAAAAATAAAATTCAACCAAAGCAACTTTCCGAAACACAAAATTTCTTAACAACTCCGCGGATATACATATTGAATGCAACACGCCAAACTTAATTAACCAACTCAAAGCGGCACGGCAGTGAATAATCGCTTCATTGAAAATATTCAACTTGGTAATACTCTATTGAATCAATATTGAAGTAAAAAAAAAAAAAGTAAAAAAAGAAAAAAAATGAATAAAACTCGATCAAAGCTTCCTGAAACGCAAAATTTCTTAACATCTCCGCGGATGTACGCATTAAACGCAACACGCCAAATTCAATTAAACCACGGAGACGATTCAAAGCGGCGCGACAGTGAATAACCGCTCCATTGAAAACGTCGAGATCTGTATGGACCGACATTTTCAATGCCCCGACGTTGCTCCTTTTGTCGCGCAACAGCTCAGCGTATTTACAGTATCAGCGTTCAGCCGGTGAAGTAACGATACAAGAAGCCGAGAGAAAGCAGCGTGGGACACACGAGAACGAAGAATTACGCGCTAACTTCTTCCACACGCTCCGTCCCCCGCGAGCTTTTACTTCCTTCTTCCCGAGGTGTCGCCTCGAGACCACGGCCACGGTCAGAAGAAAGATTGCGCCATCTCTTTTTCTTCTCTCAACTACGATTTATTAACTCTTGAACGTTCGAAAGGGAACGACAAACGCAGTGAAGAGGGCATTGTTCTTGGCGAATATAAATTTGGAAAATTGGACAGGAGCAGTTTTGCAGGGGAATTTGCTTTTGAAGCAGATGTTCTCGTTTTAAGAAACGAATACTTGGATTTCCGTTATTCTTGGATAAGTAAAATCATCGAAAAGAATTTTTTTTTTCGAGTTTGGAATATATGGACGAAGTATTAGTATTCAATGATAATATCGATTTCAATTGCCTTTCTATCTTTATAGAAAGTTCTTAGATTCTTTTTTCGATCGAGTTAATATCGTAATTCGAAGAATAGAATTGCTTTGTTAGTCATTTGAAAGATAATTGGAAATCGACAAATAAGCATTGCTCGTCGTGAAATTTACGTATATCTTATAATTTCGTTTCTTATCCATTAAACAGATTCGTTTAATTATAAGAAAAATCTGAAAAAATTGGAAAGTTATGATGGAATTAATAATTTCACTATTTATATTTCACTATTTATTGCAAGATTATACGATTCTTAATATTTTTCATCCAATGTTTCTCTATTCGATCTTAATTACTTTCATACTTCGAAAAGAACGCTCCACTGCTCCAAGGTCAAGTTCATGCAGCCTTTCACTTTTCTTTCTCAGTCGATAAAAAAGATTCGCTTTTGAAATTCTCGTTACTTTTTAATTCCTTCGCGACAAATGAACTTTCTCTCAGCTTCGTGTTGGTCGCCTACGTCATTATTATTAAAACTAAGGCCATTCACCGACCCTAACGAAGCCCTGGAAAGCGCGACGTACAAACGAAAGATGTTTTTTTCTTTTTTTTCCCTTACACCGTCGAATTGGCCAAGCACTGCTCGTTCACGCCACTCGGCTTCGTTAGAATCGTTTGGCTTTGCCGTACACCATGGGTGAATACCTTTCAGGCGACAGCTGGTCGACAAAGCCGACCACCTTCTTTTTCGTTCCGTTAAGGTTGAGCGAGGGCATACTACAAGGAGGGGTAACGATTTACGATGTACACAAGCCGAATATCCTTTGACTTATACAGGAATGACTTCGCACGTGATCCAAAACGATTTCAATGAAATTTTATAGAGCTATGATTCTATATCAGTATTGTAAATATCTCTAATGAGCGTGGATATAATTTTAGTAAAATGTAATTCTCACTAATTTAATGATTTCAATTAATTAAGATATTCTATTTAAATTATATATATTTAGATTTTTATGTTTTGTATATATTTATTTTTTTATTTTTTAAGATGTACTATATTTTCCAAAATATACTATTATATACTTCTATTTTCTATGGTTATTTTGCTTATCTGTGCTATTTTTGTTCTATGCTGATTATCTTATAATTAATATATTACTTAATATAATATATTGTCTATTATATTATTTTCTAAAATATATGATAATATTTGAGTATTTCATGTGTTTTTTATCTGTTTGAGTAAAATTAAAATTATTCTAGGATGACAAAAAGTGATAAAAGTTTTTTTTAGATTTCCAGATTTTTCAAATTTCAAATTGGTAAATAAAATGTTCACTAAAAAAAAAAAAGAATATCTTAATCTTGAAATTAACCTATTCCATCTATCCTAATTTATAACCTAATTTATTTATTTATAGTTCCAATCTTTTTCAAAAGAATAAATCATTAAAGATATTTTGCAGTCATTTCATTGATTCTGAATTTAGTCATATTTATGTTATCAATCTTTCAATGTGCAACAAAATTAAAAATTTGAAAAATTGGAAAATTATGATTGTATTTATCAGATATAGAACCATCATTCTAATTTTATTAAAATCAGTAAAGATCATATTTGAAACACCCTGTATTAAATCTACTCTATTGTTTTAGATGTCCCAAGTGAAAATATTAATCATTAATAAATATAATTCAGATTAATATCAAAAGATCAAATGGATAATCAAAATAAAATTGAAGAAATGAGATTTTAAGTCAAATTTTTTAATTTTTAGAAAGCAGTTAAAGCTTCTAATAAATTATAAAAAAAAATTAAAAATTATTTATTGATAATTTAATAAGGAAACAGTGACATACTTTCACTTAAAAAAATGATGTGGAAAATGTAATCGTTAGACACGTAATAAAAAAAAAGACCATACACAGTAAACAAACTAATAAAACTATTGATCTTATGAAATTATACTGTTATGTAAAAAAAAAAAAAAAAGGTCGCATAAATTAAACATAAAACCAAAGGTCAGTCGATCTCGATTGAGCCATCGATCATTCTTAATTGAAAAAGTTGTTTTCAACAAGACTCTCAAGACTCTCAACTCGACAATAAAACTCTTCCATAAGATTTAACAGGATGCAAGATAAAATTTCTTTTAAAAAAGAAATTCTTTTTAAAAAAAAGAATAAAAATTATTTTCAAGAAAAATAACAAATAATAAAATTCCCATAAATAAAAATGAAAATAGTGTGAAAATATTTGCTCATATGTCTTCCATTGCAGATATAGCTCAAAATCAACATGTCCTAAGTAAACATCCACTCCATCCCTTATTTGATCCTTAGTAAAATAATATCTTGAAGTTTCCTCTTGGGACATCTTGCACTGATATGTAAGTACATAAGTAAGTATCTATACTGGTATGTGTAAGAAAATTGCAAATGTAACCAAAGGATGAGTAAAATTTGATCTTCTAAACGAATAAATAAAAAGATATGTTTAAGTGTAATTTTTATGATTATGGACAAATTTTGTTATGAATAGTGTATATGTATTAAACATCACAAATTGGATTCAAAATTATGGACTTGTATTTTTTGAACGAATTTTATATTATGAATTTGACAAATTTTATATATATGTATGTATTTTGTTATTAACTGATATAAAATAAATGAATGATATTATATATTAGAGAAATTTTTGTATCTGAGTAATTTTTAACGAATAATGTTTTATGACATTCAATAATTATTTCCCATTCCAAATTACACATGACAAAATTTGTTAATATAACAAAATTTGTTAACTTAAAAACAAACTTAAAAACAATTAATTTAAGAGAATTCATTTAGTAGAATCCTCTATTTAGAACAATGTACAAACTCAAATTTCAAAAAAAGATTATAATACATATTTCAAATTCTAGCATATATATATCAAATTTTATTTCTAGATGAATTTTGATTTTTAAAAATCATATAAAAAAGATTAATAAAAGACTTTGATTATATTAAATTCAAATATAAATATAAATAATTAAAATTAAATTAATAATTTATTTTAAGATTAAAAATTATATATAAAAGTTTTCACAATGCAGAATAGCATGTAATAAATAAAATTCCAGTTTTATAAAATTCTTCAAGTTACACAAATTCGACTGTACATTCAAAAATTCTCAAAACTTTTTACAAAAAACAACAAAAACGAAACAAATCAGGAGAAAAAAATAAAATCATCAATAACCATCAATTACATATTCCAAACTCTTACCCAAATCAAGTGGTACGTTCAACATTGTATTTTCAAGAACCATCTAATGGCTCACTTATATTAATATATCAAATTTATATCAAACAAGATGCTCACAAAAGTGAAAAAATAAACTTAATCATTCATAAATTTTTTTCATATATTTTTTATCTTTATTTATGCAATTATCTTTATATTGCTTTTTGATGAATGATGAATCTATTATCTCTTTGTGTTATTTTTAATTCTAATTTATATGTCAAAAGATAAAAAATAAATATAAATAAATTCGCAAACGATTATAGTATTATCCATTTAATTATCAGCATTTTTGCTCATTTAAACTCCATACCAATTCTTAGAATGCTTGCAATCGTCTTCGAGCGTGTCGAACTAAACATTTGACGCTTTGCGGTTTGAGTCTCGAGTTTACCGAGTATCGATATCTCACTCATATTCATTTCTTTTTTCGATTGAGTTCGCAGAAATCATTTCTCCCCACTTAAGTCCATATTCGACATTTAAGTGAGCATTATTATAGTTTTTTCTTAACACTTAAAAAGCAATATTACATTTTTTCAATATTTCTTGGCTAAACGATTAATATTTATAGTTATATATTAGTATCGTAAAATATTATAAACGATAATATTTATAGTTTTGATTTTATGGTTTTTTAAATCTAAAAATTTTATTTAAAAATAATATATAAAAAAAATTAGCCTTTTCCCTTAAATTCTTAAAATTTATAAATTATTGCGGATTGTTTATGAACTATAAATTAAATAATCAATAATATCAAATTAAATAATCGTTTAACACATTCGAGACTACAATATATGCCATGAGTCATAAAAATTTCCTATTTTATGACAGTTGACGCTTATCATAAATTTTTCTAAAAAAAAATGAAAAATAAACAAAAATTTTCCGTATATTCAGCTTATTTTTTGCGTTCAATATAAATTGCGTTCAAATGTTAACTTTATATTCTGTACACATACAAAATTTTAGATTTCGTTGCATTTTTAATTGTTTTACGATTATTTCTTCTACTCATCGAAAATTAATATCCACGAGCGAGATATTAATTTTCTTCGATTTTGGTCTCGAATATTAACACATTCGATATGTTACGAATAACGAAAATTCTCACATTTTCTATTCTGTTACCGATCATGAAGAATTCTCGCGTTCATTGTTACCGATGAAGTAAACTATTTACATGGAAACATGCCTAACCACTATCGATAAATTTAATAACAAAACCGACAAGTTTTCTTAACCTTTACCAGTTAAGTGTACATCGTAGAAAAACAAAACGTCTTTTCTTTATATACACATGTCGAACGAGCCACTTCATTTGCATTTTCAGAAAGTCTCGTTTTCCTTTCTCCATGTTTTTCCCTTTCAATCAAGAGAAAATGACGAACATACATACACACAAATAGACATACCTGTTCGATTTGGGCGTGACGATGTCTCTCGTCTCGGACGTGTATTTCCTCTCGGCGCGACCCCCGTTGAAAAGTTCGACGGTCTCCCTGGTAACCGTTTCCAGCAGAGGCTCCCCGCCCCTCCTACCCTTACTGAACGTCCTTTGATCCGTTTTACGGACCATAACCACCCTCGACAGGGGTTGATTGAATTCATGACCGTGCATCGTTGGCGGAATCATCGCTAACGACTGCGAGAGGGGCCCTCCGACTCGGGGGGATCTGGAACAGATTCGAAAGGGAAATGAAGGGATTCGTTTCGAATTGAAAAATGCCTACGATTCATTTCGCGGTCGAATATTGCTTTTGGTGGAATTTTTTATAGAGGGGATTTAAACTTTATATCGGTATAGGGTATAGAAAGATATTTTTTTTTTTTTTAATTTATTTTTTTTTTAAAGTGAGTTTTAAACAAATGAATTATTATTCGATTTGAAAATTATTGTAATTAAAAGTTGGAATGATGTGGAAAATTTTGGATGTTAAATTTTTCATTGAATTTAATCAATGAAATTTGAAATTAAAATAAAATAAAATTTAATATTAATCGTAAGAAGGAAACGAATGAGGTTTTTCTTGGAGTTTTGAATGGTTCAAGAATCTATGAAGAAAATAAAATTAGCCATTATTATACTGTCAATATTTGACGACGATTCAAGCATGTTTTAAAGTCTCTAAATATAATTTATGCTATTAATTTATACTATTCTCAAGAATGGTATGTGTATATTACGAGTTTTTTTTTTTTTTTTTTTT